TTTTTAAATCTACACAATTTTTTATAGGAAAATATACACATAAAAAAGGACCACCGGTATAATATTTGATAATAAAGAACTAAATCGAGAAATGTTCTTGTTATAAAGAACCAATTGTGAAATTTACTCATTAAGTTTGGTTCAATTCATTTTGTACCAAGATACAAGTTCTTTACATTGTTCAAAACAAAATGATAGATATATGGACAAAAGAAAATATTTGAAAAGACATCTAATCGTTTGAGGGCCTCAAAATATGTTCACATGAGGCCACTTAATAAATAAGAAGCTTTTCCCTTGGCGTGAACCATGGGAAGTCCACTTCCAATGATTTGTGGAGAAGCTCATTAAAAAGCCAAGGAGAATGCCAACCATACACCCATAACATGTTTTTTTAGATTGAAAAAAATCCAGTCTAAAAAGAAAATGAATTAAGTTAATGAAACTAGTTAGATGTTAGACGTGGTTAAAAAATAGAAAGAATTAAATTTAATTAGAAAAAATAAATAATTGACTACAATTTTTCACACATTCTCACATCCTTGATATCTATCTCTCTAGATTCTATGCATCTCTTTTGTTAATCATATGTAAAGTTATTCTCTAATCGTTGCAATTATTTCGATTAGTCTTTAAATTCAACTCAAACTCTGTTTCTATTTATTAGGGAGTAACAATTAGAGCAATGCTAGATTTACAAACAAAATAATTACAAACTTAACAACCTTACCATTTCAGATGTAAATTCTCATTTTAAAATTATTTCAGGCTACTTCATTTTTTTATTGAAGTTCACAAATAATAAGTTTGTGAAATTTGCGACGGTTTTGTTTGTGAACCAACAAACAATTCCCTAACAATTAATTTCTTATATCCTAAAAGTTATATCCTAAATTGTAAATCACATATATGTATTTTCATTTCGTGTCAGTGTAATGCTAATGTGATAATTCACACAGACACGGAATACTAATATAAAATTTTTAAATCATATTAACATATCGTGTAAGTATGAACCATCGAAATATTACTACTTAGCATTTGGCCTTTTAAAGTATACTTCCTCCGTCCTAAAATTATCTTTCCACTTCCCTTTTTTATCTGTCCTAAAACTACCTTTCCACTTTTAAAAAATACTCCGTATTACTATTCTCTTATTAAAGGACATTAGGACCCCTTTATCATTATTAGAATGGGATGAATCAGAGAGTAATCAGTGATGCACTGATGCAAAGTAAACAAGATTCTTTGCGGGGGGGGGGGGGGGGGGGGGG